TCTGTCGATTTAAATAAGTTGTAGTAAGTTTAGATGGGAGTGAGTTAACTTAGGCAAGGCCGTGTGGTGCTTTAACCTTCATACCGTGCCAGGGTGACTATGGGCAGTGCGGCGGGGGTAGACACGGTAGTGACTGATAATAGGTAACACGCCACTACATACTGATTGTTCCCCTCCGTATCACCCCCACGTCCCATCCACCACAAGTCCCACCTCGTCCATATACAGTCCTACCCGCCCCTCCCGCCCCTCTTCCCTGAATGCTAGCCCTCCCTGCTCCTTTTCCCCCGTGATTGTAAGTCACCTCCCTCCCCACCCTTTCCCCACCCCTCTCTCTCCCCCACCTCTCCCCCCCACCGTCCCCCCTTCTTAGTGATTGTAGACCCTCTCCCTCCCTCCCCCCAGATGACTGACTTATCATATCAGTGCCCTAAATAGTGGTGTGTTGAGGTTAACTTATCTAGGTCTGGCTTACACATTCCCATGACACCCTCTAGTGATTCCTCCACCACCCACCCACCAACCCCTCCACCACCACCCACCAACCCTCCACCACCCACCCCACCTCCCACCCACCCTCCTTCCACCCCCACGCTCATATTCAGTTGATCTTAGGTAGTCCTTCCTGTTTCTGTGTCCTCCTGCTCCCTTCCCCCTGCCCCCAGCCTTCCTGCACCTGTCCCCCTGCCCCCAGCCTTCCTGCCCCCTGCCCCAGCCTTCCTGCACCTGCCCCTGCCCCAGCCTCCTGCACCCGTGCCCCTGCCCCCAGCCTTCCTGCACCCGTGCCCCCAGCCTTCCTGCACCCGTGCCCCCTGCCCACTTCCTCTTCATACTGATATTCACTCATCTGGCTCCTGACACCATACTGTCCCTCTTGACACTCCTTCATACTGGCACTCATGGGGACACTGCTGGTTCTTTCTTTTATACAATACCCAGACTAAGAGTCCCGCCTCCTTGTATACACCACATGCAGGGGTGTCATGCGTAATACATGATTCTGACATGACTGTATCTTAGGCGTAATCAGGAGTGCAATTATGAGGGAGTGTCAGGAGTGCCATTATGAGGGAGTGCCAGTAAGAGGGAGTGTCAGGAGGGCCAGTAAGAGGGAGTGTCAGGAGGGCCAATTTCATTCCAACAACACATTATCCTTGCATGACTAATTTGGAGAAATTTCCTCTGTGTGTGTGTGTGTGTGTGTGTGTGTGTGTGTGTGTGTGTGTGTGTGTGTGTGTGTGTGTGTGTGTGTGTGTGTGTGTGTGTGTGTGTGTGTGTGTGTGTGTGTGTGTGTGTGTGTGTGTGTGACTCGACTTGGCGTTGTTTAGAGGATAGACAGACACAGACGCACCCGATTATTACTGGCCAACAAATACGTCCACCTGTGTCCCACCGACCCACTGACACACTTACTCATCTCCCTCATCCTCACTCCTCCTCTCCCTCATCCTCACTCCTTCTCTCCCTCGTCTTCACTCCTTCTCTTCCTCACTCCTTCTCTCCCTCATCCTCACTCCCACACAAAATCAAAGTAAAAAGAAAAATCAAAGCTGCATCAAGATAATATACCGAGACACTACATTCAACCACCAGCTGTTGGGTGGAAAAAAATATAATAAAAAATAATCCCACCAAATTTTCAACCATAATTTTAGATCATAAGTGTTTTGGGGACAGGTATTCTCCCTTAACTATATGATCGAACAGTTTTGTAAAGATGTTCTCCCTAAGTTATATCAACTAACCTAACCTATATAGATGAGTTAGAGGTTTGGTGTAATTATGGCTGACCCAGATTAAAGGGAAAGACATTTTGTATTTCCAACTTTTCTTCTTAAAATTAATAAGTATCGTCACTGTCGATTATGATCCAATTAATATGAATCTTACTCGGCTTGTACAGTACTTGTGGTCCAGTGTGTAGTGACCACTCAGTTAACATAGAAATTGGATTGAATATCCCGAATTTGGATTTGTAATTAAGTTATCTGCCATAGATTTACTAAAATTCATTGGTTGCGATAAAAGTTACCTTGGTACGCTGTTGAACAATGATATGCGGTGAATAATTTTTGAGGTTACAAAAAATTTCACACTTTGGGGGTTAACCCATAAACCATCACACCTCAGCCATTTTAATTGGGAATTTGGATTATTTTGTCCGTGGCCATTTTACAAGGGTTAAAGGTCATCAAGTTAATGTAGAAGTGAATGGAGGAGACAATGTATGAGTGTTTTAGCTTAATTCAGCTTAATTATGAGTAACATCCATCGTCCGCGCGGAGGACCGATCCCTGGGGTAACCAGTATCTCTGTGTATCAGGAAATGGTTGTGTTGGGAAGCTTGTGGCTTTTTGCAATAACTTAACAATATTCTGAGGTGTTATGCAATACGTGAGGGCAATTAATGCATGGTGTTGCAACTTGCTTGTAGCCGAGTGGTGTAAGATGTACCGACCGCAGTGAGAGCGCTTGGGCTGATGTGCTCAACGAGACACATTATCATCGTTTACCACCTAATTATAACTGTTGAATGTTGCGAGGCTGGTAGGCTTCGTCCTTGTTACTCAATGATGTGTGTGTGTGTCACGGAAACACATTGTTAATACACTATACACTACCTCTGAGGACCTGGATAAGATTGTTAAATTCTCGGGGCTAGTTTCAGGCGTGTTAATATCGTGTTCCCAGAAAACTCAAGAGCCAACATACGCCAGGCTGTTGAGGTTCGTTGAAGGATTAATTGAACCTATGACGTAACAACTGTTCTCAACATTGGTAAGAGGAAGCCTCAGTTACGACTAAGTTTACAACAACAGTCTTTTAATGACGGGGATTAATATTTTCTTGTGGCAGTTTAATGTGACGCTTTCATTGCTCTACATTTAGCGCCGTCAGCTGTTATCCTCCCGGCTCTCTTGTTCACACTCCTAGTACTAACTGTAATTGGACGCCGTCACTCGAAAGTTACGTTTCGAAAGTGGGGCTTAATGAACTGTTATTAATATTAACCATGGAAGTTGCTTCACTAAACAAAAGAAAAAAATAGAAATACTCTAATACAATGGGCTTTTCCCATAAGAAAGTCACAAGACGAAATGCCTGTTGCAAATATGTGAAAGCTGTCACAAGGTAACTTAATGCAGTAACTAAATGTTTCGTTAGAAAATGCATAGCCAAAACTTTTTTGTAATCTATTTTTTTTATCTGGTTAGGATAATGCACAAATCTTCCTATGTATCCCCCGAGGTCTATTATCCTTTAGTTTGGTCTCCCCTGGGTTAATAGAAACTGTCAGGGAAGACGTGGTTACATTAAGTGGGTGTAGGTCAACGTTCTGCCTTGTTACTAGGTCAGAGATAATAGTCTAGACGTCATACCTTGTCATTCATATAATTATGAGATACCTGATCATTCTCACGCACTTAAATAAAACATATCTTGAAAGTCTGAAGATCGCTCACCTCAATTAATTTGATGCACTGTAGTTAATACCTAAACATGGGATAAATATGGTATATAACTTTGAATAGATTAAACCCTTGCTTCTGTTGACTTCCTGGCCGTTAACTGCTAGGGTCGTTACGACCGTAAATACAATAGTAAAAAAAAAACATTCAGAAGTTTAATAAAAAAGGAAGAGAATGAATAGAAATGGAGCAGTGAATAATTCTCCCTTTTACGTGTTTTTTTTTCCCGAGCATAAGTCCACCCGGGTACAGACCACTGACCCACGTAGGGACCTGGGGTGGGGAGGAGGGGTATAATAATACAAAATAAATAAGAATTATAATAAAAAAACAAAATACTAATAATAAAAAAATACAAAATGAAAAAAAAAGATAGTGAGAAACGATATATGTATGTTGTGTTGTCAACGTAAGAGAAACAATTGAGAACCTGCAATTGTGTTGTGTGTAAATGAAGCAGAATGTCAGATCAGCTACCTAGAACTTGGCCACAATTTTTGTGATGCCATATGGCAGCAGGGTCTACCATTAGACAACATAATGTGTTTCCAATATCTTCCCAGGCGGTTGTATCTCCGTTTGATAGGCTTTTATGTACGTATTAGATATTTTGTCAATATACTGTACATAAGCGCTAGGTTCAAAATGAAATGCACGTTGGGGGCGAATAATTTCCTTGATATCATCATCGACTTGCGGAGTGACGCTCTGTTCATCTCGTTCGAATGGAAATTTAGTAAAAATAAAAAAATAAAAAAGTCTTCTCGTTGTTGGAGCAAAGATGTTGAATGATTATTACTTTTCTGCAGTATATATGATACATTATAGGGTTTGGGTGCGCCGTGTTGGGTATGGTAGTGTGTGTATAACCGACGCGTCCATGGCTGTAAGTACTGTACAGCATATTGTTGAAGTTGTTAAGCCATTTTGTATTTTATATTGTTAATTCTCCTTTTTTTAAATTGTTCTGTGTTAGATTTGTGAAAACATTGTAAACATGGGCTTAAGGTACAGGTATAAATTCGCTGGCATGTACATTTTTTTATCAGATATACCCCTTTGTTTGCTTCGCCTTCATGTAACAATACCCCCTGACTGAATGTAAGATGCTGTTGAACGAAATGCAAGTTCTCTTTGCTTGAGTACATTGACTAAGGTAGTTTAGCTTCATTCCTGCTAAAAATGTTAAACGTAGCCTTAGCCAGTTTTAATTACTCTCGACTTGATCAAAAGTAAACTTCGACAGTACACAGTATTTTTTTTCAGCTGGTATTTTTAATTTTCTTCGTGGTTAAGATTCCAATTCATTGAAATTAATTGGATATTAGAGAAACTATAATGTTTGGAAAATATACGAATGACCTGAACTTAAGTTGGATAAATTACAAAAGTGCTCCGCCAGACTATAAATTATTTGACAGAAGGATGGATGTACTGTTTGATTTTTAAATTGTTTACTAATTGCAGCCGTGTTTGAAACAAATGGGTGTTGTTGGTATGTTTAATTATAATATGGTTTGTGTGGTTCAGTCAACAGGTGACAGTAGTGTGTCGTCGGGCAGTGCTGGAGAGCGGAGTATCAGCCCTGCCCGCTCTGATGAGTCGGCTGACAGCCGCCCTACCCTGCGCCCGCTGTCTCACGCTTCTTCCTCCGCTACCCTTACTTCCACCCAGCCCCAGCTCTCCCGCCCGACCTCTTCCCTCAACTTGGCTAAAACCAGAAAGAGGCAGGCGCCCGCCCCGCCACCCCCGCCCTCAGCACCCACGCCCGCACCACACACCAATGGCAAGGTGAGTCACTACCCACCCTCGCATTCGACTTGATTACCATTGACATGTTTTAATGTGTAACTAATTTTCAAAAACTAGTACAGTACTTACCGCATACTATTTTTATGAAAGTAGTAGTAATATAATAATAGCTGTAATAGAAATAGTGATACTCTTATATCAGGGGCGGATCCAGGGGGTTCTTGGGGGTCCAGACCCCCCTTTTCATCAGAAAATTATACTTTTTCTATAATGCAGTACGGTACTCAGGCCTATGATGGTCATATTAAAAAGGGGGGGGGGGGCTTATAGCGCCCTCCAACTGGGTGGGCTTGCTGTGCTCGCCATCAGTGCCGGGTTTAGACCTATGGAGGCCCATGGGCAGCCTCTTTGTGGAGGCCCCCCTCATTATAACTACCCAAGAGGGTGGGGTGGCGAGTGAAGCAACCATAAACATCTGGGAGTTCTGGGGGGCGCTGTAAGCCCCCCGGGAAAATTTCAACACTTCTTTGGAGAATTTTGAAGCCATATGCAGTTATATGGAGGAAATTAGAACATTGAGAAATTTTTAATTAACTGTATATTTATTGATAGTGTACAAATTCCCAACACACACACACACACTAAAGTGAGACATGACTAGAGTCATTCATGTGGTTTCAAGTCGACCAGCCCTGATATGTGGAGGCCCCTGGGCAGCTGCCCACTTTGCCCACTCCTGATTCCGGCCCTGCTCGCCATGTTCCCCCACCCACAACTTCTTGGCCCCCACACACCCCTTTTGATATTCCTGGATCTGCCTCTTTACATTACTACCTGTAATAATAACAATAATAAATACAGAATAATAGTTGGCCAGCAGAATTACTGTACTGTACAGTACCTGTACTAAACAGTATAATTACAAGGTACAAATATGATATCTTGTGGCTAAGGCAATTAAGCATAATATGCACTTTCTAATGTTTAATTAAAGATATACTGTTTAGATCATTTTCCACTGTGCTCTGTTACTTCCACCTAATCTAGATTAACAGTACAGTATAGGTGTACCTGTATGTACTGTACTGTATTTCATACTACTGCAAACATGCCACTACAGGATACAGTAATAATTTTCTCTACAGTTTGTATTTAACGAGAGGATATCTTCAATTTTTGCCATTAATTGTTAAAGTAACCAATTTTTTATTGTCTTTTCCTTATCCAAGAACTGATTTATTTGAAAATATTAATATATTAAAACTGAAAGGCATTTCCTAGGGTAAAATTTTAGTTTTGGCCATCCATGTATTATAATATCCAACCTAACCTAATGTAGCCTAACCTAGTCTAACACAACCTAACCACAGAACCCAGGAACTATAACCTAATGGGAGGTTTTTGCCACCCCAGACCCCCTTTTCTGGTGGGAGTTAAATCCCTAAGATTCTCCAGATAACCGAAATTAAAATAATAGCTTTTCTAGATAACAGCTGGAGTTCAAGATGATATATAATACACTACCAGTAATGTTATTACTTTAGTCATATATAGAAAAAACAGTATCACTAGCACAGATAATTTTTTATTGTGGTCATAAGGCAGGACAATTAATAACAACAACTTGATATAACATAGTAGATTTTATCATCATCCAGCTTAAGGCACCAACTTTTGATTGTCTTTATTACAGTAATATTTTTTGTTCTTGTACTTGTATTAGAACTCATTTGTTGCTCAAAGTTGTATTCCAAAACTTTCTAGTTGTAGCGATTTTTTTATTTATTTTTAATAAACTTTATTAATGGGATGTGTTTATATACAGGTGGAGAGTGAGCGTGGTGAGGGCGGGGGTAGCAGCCTCTCACGCCGCAGTTCTGACTCCTCGGGTTATCACGAGGCCGACCAGCGCTCGCCCTACACAAGGTAAGAACATAAGAATGGAGGAAACTGCAGCGGGCCTATTGGCCCATACTGGGCAGTCCCATTTACACCCAACCCTTATTGCTCATATAAGCATCCAACCTATGTTTGAAGCTATCCAGCATATTCGAGTTAATGATGATATTTGGTAACTTGTTCCATTCATCCACTACTCTGTTTCCAAACCAGTGTTTACCTATTTCGCGCCATAATCTAAATTTGTCTAATTTAAAACCATTGTTACGAGTTAGCTCCTGGTTGGATAGTTTGAGTACCTTTGTTTAGCCCTGACTTCCATTTATACACCTCTATCATGTCGCCCCTCACTCTACGTCTCTCGAGGGAGTCCTCTGAATTCTTTCCAAGGATTCTATATCCATTCTGTAATACGTGACCAGAACTGAGCTGCGTAATCCAGGTGAGGTCTCACAAGCGCAAGATATAATCGTAAGATGACCTCGCTAGTCTTGTAACTAACACTCCTTTGTATGAACCCAAGTACTTTATGAGCCTTGTTACGAGCAAAAACACATTGTTTACTTGGCTTAAGGTTCCTACTTATCATTTCTCCTAAATCTCTCTCGCAGTCGGATTTCTCAATGGCATCGCCCACACCACCACGTTCCTCCTGCAACCACAGCTTAGGAGAGTGGTAAAACAGAGGGAGCAGTTCATGGGGCATGTAATAGGAAAGATGTACTGTATTCAAATGAAGAATATACAGATTATACTATTGTACCCAAATATGAGGAGACCATTCATTAAGGGGATGAATGTGATATTAATTGTAAGGAAGTGAAAGTGGGTCTCATAAGCCTGATGGCCCATTAGGGGCAGTGCAAATAAACATACCGTAAACTGTAGACTAAGCCTTTTTTTCAGTACTGTAGGAGGTAGTGTAGTCAATACTGCACCTGACCATCTTCACCTTCCCCAACTAAAGTTAATTACCCTTTCACACCTGGATCAATTGGGGGAGTCTTAGGCAGGAACCAGTGACCCATTGGAGAGCAAACAAGCACTTTACTATTATTGGTCATGGGGAGTCCGATAATAACAGTAAAAAGTGATTGTGAGCATTAAACAAGAAGAAATTGAGGGAGATGACACTGTACAATACAATATACTGTAGTGATTAGTGAAAAATTTTATTTACTTTACTAAAATACTGTACAGTATTAAAAGCAAACAAACCCTAAGGTCCAGAAATTCATGTAGTGTATTTATTTTATTATTTTTTAGGTTAAGACATGCACTGTTATAAGATTTGTAGAACTCTCATACAGGTCAGTCTTCATCATTACTTTTATCAACAGCCCAACAAGTTCGGAGATAAGTAGTGCAGAGGCTGTGCGTGCTGCTCAAGTCCCACAGGCTACCAATCTTACTTCAGTGGTCTCTACGTCCAGCCTCTCATTATCTTCCTCACGGGGTAAACGGAGAGCACCCCCTCCTCCTAAGCCACCTCCCATGCGACAGGATGATTCAAATCGACCGTCAGCCATTCCAGAAGAATCAGAATCCCCAGTACCTACCAAGTCTTCTGTGGAAGATGTCACAAAGTCTACTGCAGAAGATCCCACAAAGTGTCCTATAGAAGAAACCACAAAGTCTCCTGCAGAAGATCCCATAGAATCTCCTGCAGAAGATCCTATAAAATCTCCTGCAGAAGATCCCAAAAAATCTCCTGCAGAAGATCCCAAAAAATCTCCTGCAGAAGATCCCATAAAATCTCCTGCAGAAGTTAGCACACCTTTGGTGAATGGGGAAGCACACCATGAACCTCCCCAACAACAACAGCCATCTTCCCCAACTTCCTCCCATATAAGCTCAGTGTCCTCACTGAGTAGTGTAGAACAACAACAAGCCAATAACCCTCTCCTACCTCCCCCGCCAGATGTAGAGTCCCCCCCACCGCCATCCTCAGCCTCAGGTAAGCTCATGGCTGCTCCACAGACATTTCTTGATGATGGCAACATCGAAGATGATTGGAATGATTTTCTTAATGATCTTGGAGAAATTTTTGAAAGTCAAAGAAAGTTAGGATTTTGAACTATTGCTAGTATCAAGTAATAAATTTATTTAATAGTACTGTATTACAATGTTGCCATTTAGCAATTTCCATGGTTTTATATGTTGAAGTTTTTAGATTTTATACATTAAAGTATAATTTATTGTTTGTGATATAAAATAGCAATGTGGTACGTATTTGAATATATTGTAGCATAGGTTTGACTTGATAAGATTAGTACAGTACCTTTTACAGAAATTTTATTTTGTTTTAATGATATGATGCTGTAGCTTTATTCTTTGATACTGTATTTACACTTTAAATATTTCATGCATGGTAGATTAGTAAATATCTGAAGTGCTTATTTGTTTAGTAGGTTGTATGAATGTTGTACTGTACCTATAAACATCAAACTTGTTAGTCAGGTATCAAAGTAGAATCATGAGTGAGTCTGTGTATGTGTGTGATGACATGATCATGCAGTAGTTTGCCAACTACATGAGTAATATATCATCTGATTGAGAGCAAGACTTTGTCATATTAGATATTTATGCAGATATGAAATCACATCAAACAGATTGTAGAAAATTTAACAATTTTTCCTCAAATTTTTTATTATCAATGGAAAGGAGTCTATAATAGCATGGCATATGTCTGTAACATTTCAAGTCTGGTGTGCATGTTAGTAATTAGTATCCTTTGCATGCTTGGTAATTGGCTGTACTAACCCTCCACAGAATGCACTAACCTTGGCGCAACCTTCTCCAATAGTCCTCCCCTTCCTTACACCATTCCTTCCTCGTCCAATATGCAACCTCCACATCAAAGTTTCCCTACCACCAACAAACCTCCTTCACCCACCGCCGCACGTACTACTGTTGCTGCTGGAGTCACCTTGGGAATGCATCATGAAGCAGCAACAGCAACTAGTCTAAGCCACAGCACAAACAGCAGCAAAATGAACAGCAGAGCAAGTGGCATCATCTCTCCTGACAGGTTAGCTGAGTCTGAGGGTCTCCAGCGCCACCACCACCAGGACTACCAAATTCAAGATCAGGACAAGCGTCATCATTCCTCACAAGAACTTCCTTCTGCATCTACTGTGCTTAACCAGAAGAGGCAGAAACTCTCCACAGAAGGTGTTCAAGAAGGAAATAACTTGCCTGTTATGCAGAGTAGAAAAAATCAAGAACGTAGTCTTAATTTTCCCAGTGATGGTGTTAGTGCCAAAAATATTCCTAATCTTGATGATGCCATAGTGCCACAGAATGTTGGTATGGAGGGCATACCAGATATCCCTACATTTAGAATTGTCACTAAGTCACACACAGCTGTTCATAAGGATGATGTCAGTAAGAAATTTATAGCAGATGGAAAAACTCAGAAAGTCAGTGAAGAAGAAAAGTATGGCAGTAAGGGTAGATCAGCAACCAAGTCCAAAACAAACCCCCTGGCAAGAGGTAAAGGACTTGTGAGGCAAGATAATATTGTATTTGAAAATGATGATTTTGAATTTAATGAAGATATGTTTGAACCCAGGAATGTTTCTGATAACACAGCAGTTGGCCAAAGTAGACAAGTTAGCACTCATCTTACATCAATACCAGTTAAAAGGGGTGCCCCCCTACCTACTCCAAGAAAAAATGCTCCTGTTGCACCAACTTACACAGCATCAGGAAGTAAATTTGCAGTCAGTACCACAGATCACAGTATTCCATTGATATCATCAAGAACCACAACTGGTGAAGGAAACCAAAACAACAGAACTGGGGGTTTCTCACATGAAGAAAAGGTTGTATGGAAAGTAGATATTCAACCAAAGCCTACACCAAGAACTCAACCCCAGCAGAAAAAAATGGCCCCTACCCCTCCAGTAGTTGTGCAACGAGCAAAGAACTTGACTCCTGTTAAAGAAACAATGCCTCACAATGAAAAATTACAGGGCTCTCAAGATAATTCCCTAAATGACACTTTAAATATGGGATACTATAATGATAACATCACAAGTTGTGATTCCTCTCGGATTTCTCATCTTTCTCAAGTTGAAGAATTTGAAGGAAAAGCTCAAGAGCCTCCAGATGAGGAGTTTAAAGTTCATGTATCCAAACTGTCCAAAGGAGATGCTGATGTTTTGTCTTTATTATCTGAGGAAGAAGTTGATACCCCATCTGTTTCCTCAAAGTGTCAGTCACGTACTTCTAGTGTTGTATCCAAGATGAGTGATTCATCTCAGGAATATGACCGTGTCTCAACTCTCCCAGTTCAGAATGACAATACTTTAAATGCACGAAGTTCATCTTCTACTTCCTCGCACAACTCTTCTACTACAACTCCCCTTGTTCCTCCCATTGCTGCTCTTCCTGCACAAACAGCAGCAAGCAGTTATCGAGCTGGATACTTGGCAATGATGGCAGAACTTAAAAACTGGAAAGATGCAGATTCTCTTCATAATGTAGGGTTGGAATCATCAGATTCGGATAGTGATAGCCCACATGATTCACTTCAAGAACTTCCAAAAGTGATGGGATCTCCTCAGGGAACTTCTGAAGGAGTTCTTCGTGGATCTCCTTTACGACCTCGACTTGCCTCCAGCTCTTCTCTGTGCTCAGATACAGGTTTGCATGATGAAGGTTTCAATTGGGGTCTATCAGTATGCTTCTTATGGTGCTTATCCAGGTCTTCTGGTTTGGTTCATTAATTCCTCATTAATAAGACAAACTGTATTAATAGTAGAAATTAATGGTATAGTACAGTACTTGTAATGGCTAATCAGTTTAATGCAGAGTAAAAATTGGTAGTTATTCCATAGACTATGTAATGTATAGTATACTGTAGTAGATATTAACATTTTGGTTAAAATTAACAAATGGAAAGTATACTGTATAGTAATTAAGGTATTTTAAAAAAGTGAATATGCATGCTCCTTTTGTATTCAGTTATGTAGTGCAGTACTTTGTGTTATATTCTTTACATATGAATTTTATTGAAATACACATTTTAGAAGGCATAAGGGTTAGCTGTGAAACACATTGATTTAAGAAATTAGTGTTTTTCTTACTACTGTATTTACATTTGACAGATCATGAGGTACAAACTCGCACTGCTAGCTTTTCCTCCGAGACAAGTGAGGAAAATGTTGACAATGCTCGAGTGAAGTCAGATAAAACCCCTGCTGAAGAAAACTTGCTTCAAAATAAACTAATAGGACTAAATTTTGTAAGAGAAACTAATATTGTCAATCAACAAAATATTGCTGATAACGAAAGCATTAGCAGCAGAAGCAAAACTGGTAGCATAAATAGTGTCGAGGACAATTTTAGAAGTGATGTCCAACAAAAGAAGATTCCCATTTCTACTAGAAAGTTGGAAGTTATCAATGATTTGGAGGCTCCCTTGCTCAAGAAAGAAGTCATAAACAAAAGTGTAATCTCCAAACCACAAGAAAAATCTAGTGAAAATGGCAGTGAAGTTCTCAAAGACTTCGACATACAGTCGGTTTCCTCATTGTCCATCACTGACTCTGAAGGAGACGACAGGGGAAAGACACTACAAAACACGCCAGAAGAAAATAAAGTCTTTGAGGAGGTAAAAACAGAGATACTTGAATTGCCATTATCCTCTGTTAGATTCCCAGCAGTTGAGGGAACCATCCAAAAGAGTTCTGATGCTGCTTCACAGGACCTTAGCAATGACAAGGTATGTTCCAGTTTTCAGAAGTTACACAGATTGTGACAAATTGTATTGTTGTAGATGGATTTACACAAAATACCTGGGAACAAGAATTAGAGGATTTTAGATTTCAAAATTGGAATTTGTTTTCATGGGTCATCTGTTTGTCAAAAGATAAAAATTTATAATATAAATGTGGTAAGCCGAGATTTGATTGTATTGTACAGTAAAACCCCGAAGATCCGGACCCGGAAAATCCGGATTTCGGAAGTTTGGACCCGGGAAATCCGGATTTCGGAAGATCCGGACAAAAAATTCAGGGGTTCTGGGCTAAGAAGTTTCCCTAAGAAGCATTCCCAAACCAGAGTAAAGAACATTTTAGGCCCATGGGCGTTGCTTGACCCGTCAGTTGCTTGGACACAGGTGCCCGAGGAGGTGGGAAACGTAAACGGAGTTGACAGTTGTTTGTGGGAATATTATTTCATTCACTCAAATAATGATACAATGTTTCTTATTATGTTATCATAGGTAAATGCATGGTTTATATACGGTAATTGGTTTATCACTACAGTATAGTCTTCATTTACGCGGTCAATTGAACCCGTGGAGTACCGCGTAAAACGAGAAATGCGTAAATGAAATAACAGAACATATGGGATTAATTGAAATAGAGACTGGGCCGTCCCCCAAACTCCACTTTTTGCGACACAATACGTACGTTTTAGTAAAAATATTACCTTAATTTTATGATGGTATGCACACACACATAATATAGAAGAGAAATATCAATAAGAGAATAATATACTGTACCAGGTATAAGAAAAATCAAGGTTTAACACTTACGTTAATAGAAGAGATGGGTTGGCATACGAGGATGGGGGCTGGTTTCGAGGCAAAGGGCAGATTACTGGCCCTCTGGTGAATCACCATCACTATCCACCATAGTTGTCAGGGCCTCCCTGACAAATCCTTCAAAGTCCATAGCGTCACTGTCACTGGCTTGGGCTGGCTATGGTGGGTTGCGGGCGAAGAAGTCAGTTATGTTACGCTGATGGCTAGTGTTCATGTGGTCGTGATACATCGTGATGTACGGCTCCATAGTTTGCAACAGATGGTTACTGAAGACTTCATAGCGGTGATCGTCAGGGTCGTTGGAAAGGACGAGCTTGAGTTTCTCGGCAAACTCTATGGCATCCTTAACATTACCATGTGTTAACTTATGTTCTTCTTGGGCTACCGCACCACCTGCATCTTCACTGACGTCATCGTCTTCCAACATTTCGTTGGCAGTCACCTTAGGATCTCTGATTACCTCCATGATGTCGTCGTTGGTGGTCTCGGAGAAGCCTGCAGCTGTAACACTCTGTGCAGCTTCTCTTGCAAGGTCCACTGCCACTGCAACAGACTGAACCTCACCAGCCACAGGTTGACTCTGCCTCCCACCTGGGATACCCTGCAACACATACCGCCACACGTGATGAATCGTTGCCACAGACAGCTGCCCCCATGCCTCCACCAAGAAATCAACAGCTTTCTTGACGTTAAACATTTTCCAAAACTGTTTAACTCGCACTTCATGCTCCGCCAACTCTTGTTCTGCATCCTCGTTGTCGTCACTCTCGCTATCTGTGCCACTCAGAAGGTTACGCAACTCATCCTTGGTGTTGGTACAGTCGTTCAGGAGCTTAAACTTCTTTGCAGAGAATGCAGCCTTAACGTTGCATATCAACTCCTGGTCCATGGGCTGGATTAACGACGTAGTGTTGGGAGGAAGGAAGACCACTTTTACATTGGGGTGACGATCCAACAGTAGGGGCGAGTGTCCTGGTCTGTTGTCAAGGAGCAACAAAATGTTGAATGGCACATTATTTTGCACGCAGAATTTCTTGGCGTCAGGAACGAAACAGTCGTCAAATCAGGTGAGGGACAGACCAGTGAACATCAACGCCTTACGTGAGGTTAGCCAGTGGACATTTAGCTTGGTCATGTCCATGTTCTTGTAGGCGTGCGGCTTGCGGGCTGTGTGGATCACCGACAACTTGAGCTTACAGGTACCGGAGGCATTGGTGGTAAACAGGACGGTGATGTGCTCCTTCTGCAATTTCCGGCCCCGACACTTGCTGGCAGACTGGACAACGAAGGTCTTGGAAGGTAATTTTTTCCAAAACATACTGGATTCATCCATGTTGAACACCTGGTCGTCGGTGTACTGTCCTTCCTCCATAACTTCTCGTAAGAATGGAGGAAAATCCATGGTGGCAGCACGGTCAGCACTCGCTCCTTCACCAACAATGTTAATGTTGGTAATCTTGTTCCTTTTCTTAAACCCTTGCAGCCACCCAGAGGAAGCAGTGAAGGGTTTGGGCTCTGCAATTCCCATCTTGTGCGCCACTGATGCGTACAGTTCACGTGCGTAGTCCTGCATTGCCCGCGTGTCGACCGCCATGTTACGTCTTGCCTGACGAATTAAGTAGCTCACCAGCAAGTTCTCCGTCTTGAGCAGCACCTTATTCTGACAGTACTTCACCATTGAAGCACCTGTAGACTTTGTGATGCTCATATGTTCTTTAATCTTGGCGGCATCATTCTTGATCGTCCGGATCGTAGATTTGTTCACGCCATGCTGGCCCGCCAAATCAACTTGTCTCGTTCCTTTTTCTAAATCTTGCACGATCTTGTACTTAACTTTGTAACTTAGGGCATGTCGTATCATATTGGGCTTGGGGTGGCTAGGTCCAGGTAATGCAAGGTTTTTCTGTAGTGGTGGGGGTCCAGCGGATGCCATTGTTGAACAGATTAGCGAGCACAATAGAGAACAGTATACGCGGCGACAGGAGAACAATGAGACTGACGCGGCTGGGTCAGGCACTCCCTCCCGTCCCAGGCCACGTCATGTAACATTAGACCAATCACAGCTAGCGGCGGAGGGAATGCGTGGGTGGTAAGGATGCGTGGCCCAATCACAGTCCAATACGTCATATGACGTCAGCAATAACGCAACAGCGACCTAATGCGCATCCCCACTGTGCCGCTTCCCGCGTATGGTCGAGAATAGACCGCTTGAATGAAAAATGGCGTGGATCGTCTGGACCTCCAGCCGCTCTCCGCGTAAATGACCAAATTTACCGTGTAATTAAAGCATTTTTATTCTGGCAAGGCACCGCGTAAATGACCAAACGCGTAAACAAAACCCACATAAATCGAGGCTATACTGTACATTAGTTCTGTATTTTTGGTGTTTCTTATATCATTTATTATTCCTGGAAAATCCGGACAAACTGCTTTTCCGGACAGGTGGTCCCCCCCCTTTTAATCCGGATCTTTGAGGGTTCACTGTAGTAATGTACATATGTAATATTTATTGCAGTGATAAGTAAATCAAATTAATGAAATGTTTTATGTTCTTAGCAAGAAATGAATGGAAGGAACTTAAATAATGCCTGTGACTTTTTAGATCAGACAATTACAAAGAGAATACCCGGTACTGTATTATTGTAGTATAGAAATTGTTAGAAAAACAAAATGTTATATATGCACTGTACTGTACTGTACATAATCTATAGACTGGGATTCAACTATGTCAAACCTTCCTCTCAGATCATTACCTTTCTCTTAACATTTACCTTCTGTTTGCATCCATTACATACCACGTCAAAGTTAATCATCATCACTACAGTTCCTGTTCGCTCTAAACGTAATTGGGTAGTTTGGGAACTTTTGTGGCTGGCGATACTGCATTGTGTGGGGGGAGGGGGGTAGCAATTACTGCTTCTGACTGCACAGAAATGTAAAGACTTGTTACCAGTGACCACACTCGGAGGGAGATGTGGAAATGACAGAAGTGTTATAGAGAGTTAATAAGGGATTGTAAAGGTGGTGTGGGCATAAAATACAAAGGTGGATCTAGGCATTTCTGTAAGGTGGGCTCCAAGGAAAAAAAGGTGCAACCCCAAAAATAAAAAAGGGTATACAGGTAGTATTATTTTCTTCTTGGAACAAACCTCCATTGAGTGAGTGTAAAATAAATTACAGTACAGTTTATTGTTTTATAAGGTCTATCTCATTCAAATATGATACAAAATTAAAATCTAATTTGGATACAACAGTTATCAAAAGAATCTTCAAATATCCTGTACAATAATTGCAAATGTCTATTTTTTTTAACTTTTATCCTCTTCGCCACTGATCGGCTTGTTAGCCGCTTGGGCGATCGGTCACGTCTCTTTTCATTTATCTTCTTCACCAAAAGATTGGCTTGCTAGCCGCCCTGGCGATCGGTCCCGTCTCTGTCACGCACTGTTGACAAATACTGGGCATGCACCGTCTCCTGAATGCACCTGAACCCGCTCCAGTGTTGGTCAAGTCTGGTCTTGAAAGAGCTCACACTCGGTGCCATCACAACACTCTGGTAGATTGTTCCAAGAGTTTACAACCCTCACTCCGAAAAAGTTTGCCCTCACGGTTTTCTGGACTTGCAGCTTCTTCAATCTTGAGCTGTGACCCCTTGTGGGGCGAGCATCTGCCAGCTCCAAGTAAGGACACTCAACTGAGTAGTGCCCCCTGAGATGCTTATACACCTCAACTAGGTCCCCCCTTGCCCGTCTGTAGTATAAGCTAGGCAAATTCAGGCGCTCCAATCTCTCAGGGTAGCTGAGGTGCCGAAGTGCAGGCACCAGTCTGGTGGCCCTCCTTTGAACATTTTAAACCAACTGATAGTCCCCAGCATATCTCGGGGACCAGATGGGGTGACAGTACTCCAGATGGGGAAGCACTTCACTCCTGAAGATCGTTACGAGGGACGGACCGTCTAGATATCTGAACGACCTTATAAGACCCAATAATTTATTTGCCTGATTTACCTTCTTCTCACAATGGCCCGAGAACTTCAGCTCATTGTCAACATACACACCTAGGTCCTTCTCACACACAGTCTCAACAAGTGCAGTTTCTTCATCCCGTTGGGACGCCCCAGGTGCATCCTCTTACACTTCGTGACATTGAATCTCAGCAGCCATTTCTTCGACCATTCCTGGAGCCCACAGAGGTCCTTCTGCAGCTCTTCACAGTTCGATTGGTTCTTAATTTCCCGAAATAACTTGGCGTCATCGGCAAACATTTGTATGGAGGAGTGTACGTCAGGCATGTCATTTGTGAAACAAACAAACAGTGGGCCCAATACACTGCCCTGTGGTACCTGACTTGTGACAGGTACAGATGATGATTTCGTGCCATTAATCACCACACACTGCTTGCGGTCATGTAGAAAGTCTTCTATCCACGCTAGGACATTTCCCCGAATTCCGTACCCTTCCAGTTTGAATTTCAGCCTTTCGCGGGGTACACTGTCGAAAGCCTTGCCAAAATCTAGGTAAATATTGTAGATATTACGACCCCGTTCCAGAATATGGGTCCAAATATCCAATAACTTGAGCAATTGTGTTAAGCAAGAGCGCCCCCGTATAAAACCGTGTTGGCAATCCTTTACAAGGTTGTTTCGTATTAGATGTTCCATCGTGGCATCTCTTAAAATGCTCTCAAGTACTTTACATACTATGCTGGTCAGGCTCAATGGTCTATAATTAATCGTGAAGTGACGATCGCCCTTCTTGAAGATAGGACTCACATAAGCCACTTTCCATTCACTGCGGACCATTTGTTCATCCAGGCATTTACAAAACAGGATCTTCAGGGGCTCTGCAAGCTCGTAGCACAACTCTCTTAGCACTCTAGGATGCACCATGCCAGGTCCGGGACTCTTATGGACCTTTAGCCTGGACAGTTTATTTCTAATACCCTCTTCTGTGAACACAATGTGGGTCAGTGCTGTGTCGAACCGTCTGTACTCAAACGCAGGAAGGTTAGTTGCATCCTCTCTTGTGAACACTGAGGAAAAGAAACTGTTCAATGCCTCAGCTTTATCCTGGTCAGAATCTGCGTAACTACCATCCGCCAGCCTCAGGTGTGATACTCCTACTCGCGTTTTCAATTTCGACTTTGCATAGCGGTAAAACGCCTTTGGGTTTGACTTGACCTCGCTTGCAACCAGCCTCTGGAACTCCTTTTCAGCCCTTCTACACTCTATCTTTGCTTGGTTTCTGGCTCTTGCATACATCCTCCTGTCTTGCTTATCATTTGACCCAACCCACGTCTTGAATTTCTGTGTTTTCTTCTTAATTTTGTCAACCGCCGCATGGTTCATGTGTAGGGATCCCCTCGTATTCCTAGAAGCACTGGGTTTGGTCTTGGGTATATATTTATCGATCAAATGGGTCATTTTACTAGTTATGATATTCAGCGTAGTGTCTGCGTTCTTGTACCTTAATAAGTCAGGCCAGTTGATACCCCTCATCTCTTCCCTCATCCCATTGTAATTTCCCTTGTAATATTTGCACCTTGGCCTGGCCTTATCTTGAACTAGGTAACAGTTAAATCTGAATGACAACACTGTATGGTGACTGGTGCCATCTGGGGCAAGGTGTTCCAGTTTGGCCACCATACCCTCCTTGTTTGTTATGATGAGGTCAAGTGGCTTGGGTGTTTGCTCCCCTCTGTAATGTGTCGGGTCTCTTAACATGTTGGAACAGAAAATTATCTCTCAGAGTTTCTACGAAAAGAGTAGCAGGGTTATTCAAGTCATTTGGGGTGGACTCGTTTCTCCAGTCGATGTCGCCATAGTTAAAGTCCTCCATGATAAGGAGGTGGCTAGGGTTGAGCATCGCCGCGTTGTTTATTAAGGTTCTTAAGTTCCTTTGATTTAGTGGGCCACAGTTTGGGGATCTGTAGATACACCCGATGATAAGTAAGTCCCCTCCCTTTAATTTATTTTTACACCACTTGGACTCTTCAAAAACATCCTCTCCCTGTACACCTCACCTGGCTGGCTCTAAGGTCTTGCCTAGCGTAGATAACCACACTCCTCTTGCAAGTTTCTTGAGAAGGTTTCGTAAATGACTCATGTCTAGCAATACTGAACTCGCATTCATCTGGGTCGATTCTCCTGTTCTTGTACAACAGTTCAACAACTCCTACAATATCTGGTTGGTGTACTCTTAGTAGTGTTTCAAACTCCTCTCTCTTATCAAGGAATGTGCTAGTTAAAAGAACTATAAAAATGAAATGAAGATAAAAATTGTGAATTGCCGCGTCAGTACTGTACTTGAAGGGTACCTATGAAAACCATTACAACTATAAGTTAAGAAGTATTGTACAATGTATACAGGTAAGGACTCAAAATTGAATTTTGATAAAATAAAATAACTAGGAGCTATTTACAAAAGAAAAAAAATTTCCAGAGGCATTCACATCAGTCAAAAAGGATTTTTTTTCTCAACAAACATATCAACAATAACTTGTATATCTTTTTCAATGCCATGATGCATCAAAACCAGGCCAGTCAACCTTTCTACTGTCAACCTGTTTCTCGGGTAGCTCTTAATGTGCCTCAGCGGAACCTGTAGACACAACCAATACACTGTAGGTCATAGAGGTAGGGACGGTTCCAGGAATATCAAAGGGGGGATCTGGCAAGCACAGTGAGCCCACCTAGCTGGGGGGTTTTGAGGGGCCGCTGTAAGCCACCCATAATGTTTTTGTTTTTTAAATCTGACCAATATCAAGGGCATTTTTAGGTCATTTGAAGCCATGTGCACTTGATATTAGGAGATGTTCTGAGGTCAATAGTAGCTACTTTTTGCTGTACTAAAATGCCCAAGTACATTACTGTACTGCATTAAAGAAAAAGTATTGGAATTTTCTGATGGGGGGGGGGGTGGAGTCTGTACCCCCTGGATCCACCTCTAGAAATTTGGAAAATATCTGAAACATTTATTAAAATTTGTTAGGTAGGTTTTCTTTCTTGGAATTCAGAGATTTTCAGTACCTTAACTCATCTAAAAAGGAATTGGGTTGAGAACAAGTCAAAGGTCATATCCAAAATACCAACTATAAACAAAGAATGCCAAGGTTATTCATATGCTTTAATTAACTTTGGAATAATTTGGAAGAGGGCAGCACATGCCCTTGGCTCTTCATCAAAGTGGGTATCCATCTCTTTTAATAGGTGACCAAGAAATGGACTGGCTAAATTTGTGTGGTAATGATCGTCTGTTGTTTTAGAAAGAGCATTATTGTGATTTAGCCTACTTACGGTATATTTTTTTATATCATTCCTGCAGCATTCAACAGGGGCGGATCTGGGGGGGGGGGGTTCCTGGGGTTCCGGACCCCCCCTCCCTTTTTTTTTCATCAGAACATCCAAATACTTTTTCTTTAATACAGTATTGTACTTGGGCATTTTTGTACCTGTATAGTAAAAAGTAATTACTACAGGTATTGACCTCAGAATATCTCCTAATATCAAGTGCACATGGCTTCAAAATGCCCTCAAAATGCCCTTGATATAGGTTAGATTTAAAAAAACAAACATTATGGGTGGCTTACAGCGCCCCCCCCAAAATCCCCCAGCTGGGTGGGCTCGCTGTGATCGTCATGCTCCCCCACCCACAAGTTCTTGGATTCCCCCTTTTAACATTCCTGGATCTGCCCCTGCTCAACATGCTTGGAGGGTCAGTGAACCATTGACTAAAGTAGCGTTTCACAACAGTACGAATGCCCTTAATTTGATAAATTTAAGTGTCTATCATTTCATATCCTTAAATGAATCAATTTGTTCTGCTGAAGTTTGGCAGCAGTTAGGTAGACAGGATCCAGATGTGCTTTTGCAACAAAAAAGACAATTGTGAACTCAAATGACTGCAGAGTAGTATATAGTCCTTGGGTATTTGTACAGGTATCCTGTTCGCACGACTAATTTTGAATACTTTACAGTAAATAAAAGTACTGTACCCTGTGCACAAGTATAAAAAAATGGAGGGGGGGGGGGGGATTCTAGCTTGTTTGAAATGGCCAACCAGCAATTTTCTCAGGCCAACCACTTTTATAAAGGCCAAATTTGAGTTATTTGGCTTAAAAGGTCAACTTGGCGACACTAGTCACATGATCAACAAATCATGGCCAAAAATTCAGTTCACATGCTATGATTAAGAAGTGATTATCAACTTCAAAATCAAATTGCTTTTACAGTATTTAGTTGCAGTGATGGATGTATGAGCAATAGGGGTTGGGTGTATATGGGACTGCTTAGTATGGGCCAATAGGCCCGCTGCAGTTTCCTCCATTCTTATGTTCTTAACCAAACCTTCACCCCCTCCACAGAACATGCCACAAAAGGTCCAGAATATATTGTAGCTTATCGTAAGAGCCAGTAGTGTGGAAAAAAATTGCCTTTACTGTATTTGATTTTTTCAACCTGAAGAAAACACTTGAAAGAAACTGAGAGGTCCAGATGTTACTTCCCCCCCCCCCCTTACCACCACCCCCTACCCTCTAATCCTTAACGCACAGAGTAAGAGAAGTAATAAGAGTGCATAATTCATAGTTAGATGGTAGGAAGAAGAGAAGACCAAGAAGCATGTGGAGGGAAGTACTGAATAAATACAGTAAGTGAATGGGTGACAACAAATGAAGGGGAAGTCTTGTGTTTACTCTTGTTTTCAGCTACCCAACAGCATACTGTAGTAAGAAAAGTCATATAAGACTGTGAAAGAAACAGATTATTTGAAAATAAGTAATTTTTATATGCTTAACAACAAATTATTGTTTTCTGTTGAATATTTTATGTATTATACTTATAATGTAAATCTCATGTTAAATTCCCAAAAGTTGATTTACTTTTTTGTGATTTTATCAGCTCACCACGACTAATTTAGGGAACAGAAAATCCTCGGTGTCATCAGCATCATCTGCTTCATCAAACAACTCTTTTGTCAAGACCAACCACAATGAGCTGACTGCCCAAGTATCCCAGGAGGTATGTTGTTACAGTGGCTTACTGTACCTGTACTGCACTATGTTATGTAAACATACTGATACAGTACTGTATTTTATTTAGAATCTATAATCTTAAACAATGCTTTGGAATCAGTCTGTGAAATGTGATTTATAATCAGTAGTCATGCAAGATTAGATTATAGAACTGTATCATTATTTAATCATTACAGTACTGTATTTAGTATGAGGCCTTTTGTGTTTACATAGTAATGACATTCATCTCTGTGTTTATAGTGTAATAGAATTTTATTTACTTCCCTTATTTTATTTCTTATTTCTATTTATTTAATTTTATTTCTTCCTTCTATTTATTTATTTACTTTAACTCTTTCTTTATTCTCTTAATTCTCTTTTCTTAATCTTACTCTTTCGTTCGATAGGTGAAGGAGGGGAGACCTGTGGTTGAGGGAGGGCGGCTGGTTTGTGGTCAGGCAGCAAGAGGGGAGGGAGGGAGGAGAAAGTAACAGTAATAACTGTAAGAATAAGTATATCATGCACTAACATATACATGAGGGGAAATATGTGATAGAGTAGTTATGTTGTTACTCATAGGGGTCACTGTATGACTGTATAACATTTACTTCAGAGGAATATTTTACTCATTGCACAAGGGAAGTGAATTGAGAACTATTCTTAACAGTTCTTCATTTATTAACTAGTACATTATTTAGAATGTACAGTTACACTTTCAAAACAATACCCTATTCTCCTAGCTAGTTAAATGGGGTTACATTTTGTGAAACAAATAAAGCTTTAAGTGCACTTGCTTAAACTGTATACATCTCTGTCGATCCACACACGTCCACACCCAAACACAGATTCTGGGTTTAAAAATCAAGTGCACCCCTTGCTAGGCACTACACTCTAGCCTCCAGCCAATCAACCCGGTTATGCCTATGACGTCACACTCACAAGTCACTGTGATTGGCTTTAATCTAAGGCACCCCCAGGGCACTGTCAGCTTGGCAGGTGGCAGGCATTGTGTTTTGGTGGGAATTCATATAGTATATTTTCTCTACAGCATGACATAAATTACTCCAAAATCATAGCACCTGTACAATAGGACGAGTTGCTGGACTGGCTCACTTACCAGTTCTGTGTCATTTACATTGCTTACTGATGTTTTTTTCTAATTGGTGATTTTGATTTTCTGAAGTTTGTTTGCTAGTTGATAAAGTTTCCTGGGAGGATGTGGATTAAGAACAAAGTTTGGAAGCTTAAAGAGAAGTTTGGACAGTTTCTCTCTTCTTCCTCTCATACAGCTCTCTCTAGCAACTCACTGCATCCTCCAATACAGGACAAGTATTCATGCTTCACTACATATTTTTTATTTAATTTTTTTAAGGGGGGGGGGGGCAAAAATAAAGAGTAAAATTAGAAGAGAAAAAGACTACAATATTAATCTACACCACGAAGGTGCTGGAAAACCATCTTTTTGAAGTGAGACAAATTGTAAGAGTATGGAAACACAGAAGAAGGCAGAGCATTCCACAGTTTGGCTGTGTGAGGAAAGAAGGATGTACTACAACGAGTTATTTTAATGTGACCGACATCCACACAGAAACTGTGGGCACCGTAAGCAAGATGTGTGTTACGAGCCCACTGCCTTGCCGGCGGTACACAGGATGCCAAGTTCACAGAACATTGCCCGTTAAACTACCTGTAAGAGAGAGAGTGAAGCAACATTGCGGCAAAGAGAAAGGGAAGAGAGATCAATTACCGGTAAATGAGGAGAGTTAATAAGATGAAATGCATTTGATTCCACTCTATTTAACAGTTGGACAGAAGAGACACTCCAGATATGAGAGCAGTACTTAAGTTAGGACAAATGAGTCCCATATAATCTTGAAGCAACTGCTCAGGAGTGAAGCAACTACGGCATCTGTACAGCATTCTCAGCTTTCGGGAGGCAGCTTTAGCACTGCTGTAGATGTATGGCTTCCATGACATATTAGAGGAAATGGTGAGGCCTAGCATATCTGTTTTAGAATTTGGATGAATGATTGCAACCTGAAATGTGATTGGTGAGAGATCTTCTATTTTGGAAAATGTAATTGGTAAATACTGTGTTTTATTACTATTGAATTTAAGCAAGTTTCTACCTCCCCATTCGTAGATGCTGTGAAGAAGAATGAAGAGTAGAATCATCAGCATGAGAATGGACAGAATTAGTTGAAGTGTGAAGTAAATTATTGATAAAAAAAAGGAAGAGAGATGGTGAAAGAAAAGAATCCTGTGGGACACCACTTGGTAGAGAAAGAGCAAGAGATAGTATATCCCTAAACAACAACTGCCATGGATAGGTTCTCAAGGAAGCTAGAAATTAGAGAACAAAGTGGGGGAGAGATACCATGAGAGGGAAGTTTAGAAAGCAAAGACTTGTGCCATACCCTGTCAAATGCTTTGGAGATGTTGAGGGCCATGACAAAAGTTTCCCCATAATCCCTAAGATAAGATGACCAAAGATGGGTGCAGTAGGAGAGCAGATTACCAGTAGATCTCACCTGGCAAAAGCTATACTGGTGATCTGACAAAAGAGAAAGGCGTTCAAGGTGACGGAGAAAATGAGAGTTTAAGATGGTTAAGAAAATCTTCTCGAGGGACGAGGTTAGGGCAATGAGGCGATAGTTAGAGAGATTAGAATTTGTCACCCTTTTTCAGGATGGGCTGAACCAAGGCCCGCTTCCAAGAAGAAGGAAAATTTTGGGCTTTGAGGCAAAGTTGGAAGAGGCGAGCAAGCACAGGGGCCATAATTTCAGAACACAAGGGGGTATTCCGTCTGGTCCATGCACCTTACTCACATCCAACCTGGATAACACACCAGCAACCCTATGAGTGGAGATTATAGGAAAGTGCATAGGTTCAGTGGGAGGAGTAGTGTTGGAATCTTCTAAGGTGGAGTTAGAAGAGAATAAGGTGCCAAAGAGATTGGCTTTATCAGAGGGATAGTTGCCAGACAACAATTTTGTCTGCAGGGGGGAAGGTGACTACAGACAGAGGGACATCCTCTTAGCTTTTCCTGTGTTAAATCTTTCACATGCACCCTGGCCATATTTATGAAAAGCATAGTGCGTTTTTTCTCAGCTGAGAAAAGATGCCCGCCCCCTTCTCAAGAACTACAGCTGATTGGCTGTAAGTTCCTTAATTACTTGAGAATGCAGTGAGCCAACAGCTGTATAATAAAATTTTATAATAGCTGTACAGGTATTTGTTAATTCAGCAAATGGCTTAAAACAGAAATAATGTACTATACTGTAATTAGCAGCTCCTTCTATATTTATAGTCATATTAACACATGGAACTAATTGACCTAATCATTATTCTCTAAGTTAGGTTTTACTAGAAATAAAATATATTTAATGTGGTGGTTAATTCCTTAGAAAATACAGCTGCTAACGTGTAAGTATAAGAGTTGCTCTTTTTATAACAGTAAACACAACTTGTCCAGGAAAATTGTATAATTTCTCATGGCAAAGTTTTCAAAATATTCATATGTGATTTAAAAATTTAAGAGCCTGACTTAAAAGTACTTGTATATTTTTCCTTCAGGTAACCAAGAAGAAGATAGAAATTCATCTTGAAGCTGCATTTGCAGAGTTGAAAGATGAGAGTAAATCTTCGCTGTTTTCATCGGAGGAATCTACAGTGCATTCAGCAGTGAAAAAGACTGACCAATTACCCGAGTGTAATTCTGGTAACACCTGGGGTTACAAACTCCCAGATCCCCCTACACCTTTTAAAGATGGCCCTTCATCAAAAGTGACTGATGAGTCTTCAAGTATATCTTCAGAGACTGTGCCTGAGATACTCTCTGATGTGCCATCTGGTTTTAAGGATTCTCCATGTAGTTCAATTTCAGAATCTAGACCAATAGATATAATAGAAAAGACAGAATCTATGAAGGAAAGAAAAGTGACTAAGGAAACTTGCGATTCTGTAAGTAATATATCCAGCAGAAAGAGTTCTTCATCCAGCCACTCTTCCACATCATATAAATTTGAAGACAAAGCAAAGCAAAATGTCATAAATGAATTAAAATCTGCAATAAAAGAAACAAACAACAATGAACCAAGAATTGTAGAGCTGAAACCTAAGACCAGGAACTTGGAGACAATTGTATATATGCCTAAAGCACATGTTAAGGAAATGACCCCATCTACCACCAAATTGCAAACAAAGGATAATGTTACAAAAGCAGAGACATTTTCAGTCAGGGCTAATATCCCAGTTCAGCATTCCTACATCCCTCGAGTTGTTGCTAAGGTTCCTATAGATAATAAGGAATTCCATGGCCCAATTTTGTCCAATGTGGTAAATAAAACAAGTAGAGACTCTATATCGAGTTATGAAAGTTGTAATAGTCCAGAGCCAGATGCTGTTCTTGATCGTACGAGATCAGGCTCAAACACCAGCTATGAGAGTGCTCCACCACCGATACCAGACGCACCAATACCAACTGATTCAGATGTGGAGGTGCGATCATCACGGTCATCATCAGACGTGAGTGATGGTAACAGCAGAACCATGCAGACTAGTTTGGCTCACCAAAATTCAGACAGTGGTAATGAAAGAAGTAAGAATCGAGCACGTGTCATGAATTTTTCAATTTCTACATACACATCGAGATCAGAGGAAACTAGTTATGACAAGAAGATCATTAAGTCAGAATCATTTAATCACCAGCTTAGACCAAAGATGGGTCAGTTGTCAACAACTGACTCATTCTCTACACAGTCTAACCCTGATCAACTCAAAGAAGATAAAAAGGAGCCAGTCATATGCAGTGAAACATCTGTGGCCTCCAGTGACTTGGAAAAGCCTTCTCTTCCCAAGAAACCACAAATCAGTGAATTTTCCTCAGCACCTGTGAAATATTCCCCATTCCTTTTGAAGCAGGCACAGTCTGCTAAGCCTGCTGTGCCACCAAATAAACCCACACTCTTTGGGATGCATTCAGAAACCAACCTCAACGTGAATCAACCAGTTGTTCGGGTCAATAGCTTGAATGATCGACCTTCCATGTATCGCAATACCAGCAATGAAGGCCATTTTGTCGTCCCAGATCCTCCACGTCCACTACTCAGGCTTAAGGTAAGATCTATACTCCTTTGATCATTTTATATATATATATATATATATATATATATATATATATATATATATATATATATATATATATATATATATATATATATATATATATATATATATATATATATATATATATATATATATATCAGCTTACCTGCCAGTGCTCAATGTAATTTTATGCCACTTAGTGCAAATAGTGGACAGGCTATACTGTACCATATTTAGATTGGTGTGCACTTGCACCTAAGATATTTTTGCTCCAGTGAGTCAGTCTGTCCCTTCTTCCACCTGCCCCATCTTTAGGGGGATTTGTCATCTTCAGGTAAAATCATTATTGCATGATTTTGATTTTCCTTGAATACAGTTTTCATTTGCTTACAATTCTAGACATACTGTACTGTATATCCTCTACAGCGTCAAACATATTATCTTAGTGTGCTATAAGTGAGTAATGTTCGGTTTAAATATTGAAGCATTAGTGTAATACCTATGTTCTTTTCTCCCTTTCTATAGCGAGTTGACAGTCAGGAACAGCTTGAACGTACTACCTCTCTTGTCAACCTTGCAACCCCCAACTATGAACTCAGAAAAGCTCAGTCTTCATATGATATTTCATATGGTGAGTACCATCTACACTCTTCTTCAACCATTTTAACTCCCAGACTGTGTGATTGTATTCATATGTGTGTAGTACATGTACAGTATTTATGTGTTTTGATAAATGTACACCTAAATAGCACAGCAGGGAACAATTATCAGATTCACTGCTGCAAAAACACAAACTCCAACTGTCACAACATACAAAGTTCAATACTTGCATTCACTTTCTTTCAATAACATTTCCTTTACAACATCCACCAGTGTCACTTGCTTGGTCTTACTTTGACTAAAAACCTTTCATGGATCCACCACACTTCCAGCATTACAAAGAATGCACCCAAATATTAAGGCTTCCTCTATTCCCTTTACAACAACCATGCCCCTCCCCATAGAAAATTGCTCTTACATTTGGGGTGACATTCCTCACTATGACAAAAAATTCTTAAACAAAATACAGTCTAAAGCTACTCTACTTATTAATGACCAATCTCATCACCTCCATATCATTCCAAAGCACCATTCTCCCCCTTTTCATCATAGTTGCAACCCGTGCCATTACTAATCATATCACCTCTACTCTGTGCTACGACCCTTTAGTCGAACCTCATCTTCTTTGGCTTCCTTCTTGCCTTGCAGTTTTTGGTTTTGTAAATTCCTTCCCTCTCCCTCTTTCATCATTCTATCAACCTACAGGTCTTTAACTGAAAGGCATATGCCCACCTCTAAAGTGCAATTTTGGGGGGCACTCACTACTAGAAGACATTGAAGCTGAGCACTTAGGTATGATGAATTAGACGATGGAAACAATATACTGTAGTAGTACTGTACCCACTGAGACAACACAGTGAAGCACATAATATGGATGAATGTCTGGGTGTTGCTACCACATGACTGAGGTGCTTGGTTTGGGTATGCCACAGCATGGTTGACCTCTGCACTATGCAGAATTTAACATGGCTCACCACCACTCAGATTGGCTCCTGTTACTGCATATCAGACTTGCATTAATCCTTATAAGTGGGTGTAAAAGAGGGTCACATTATCACAAAATCGTTGTTATGATGCTCATTAACAAGTGAGTACTGTACAGTATACAGATTCATGGCAACAACAGTATATTATGGAACTGCACAGGGCCTGTGATCTTTGTCGAAAACTTTACAATAGACATGTGATGTAGGTCTTGTGACCCTTTTTTCAGGTCTTGGTCTTTGGATTTTTGCATGATGCTTGGTCTATTGGGAGGAAGTGGTCAACTGATTAACCCTTTGACTTTGATTGATGTGTCCCCCGGGGACCTCCCAGACGACAGAATTTTATGATTTCCAAAAATAATGGTATTGTATACCTATAATTAGTACATTTTCAGCCAAAAATTATGGTTGATTCTTGTTGATACAGAATCATGAATGTGATAAATAATATTAAAGTTATACAGTGCAATTGGTCTCGGTCTCGACTTCTAAGGATCACAGTCTCGGAAGGCAGACTCAGTCTTGGATAGTACAATACTGTACAGCACTACAAAACACACAGAAAAATTGTACTGTGTTCTAAAAATAGGTAAATCCTTACTGTCTTCTTATTCATTCATCAAGTACAGTACAGTATACAGTACGTACATATGAACAGGTATTTGTATGTGTATTTTCAAACTTATTGAGGGCCAAGTTTGCAAATTCAGTGATCAGATGATATTGTTTTTGGTGCTTGGATTTTTGTACAGACGGCATTTCTAGTATGTTCAAGGTTCCATTTATATTTGTCATGCCAAAGATCTTTGTTTAAACAATGCTTAAGGGTCAGAGCTGCTATGACACGATTTTGTTTAACACAGAAATGCACTTTGAACATCTTATATACAGACAGGATGTAAACATAATATCTTGTCAACTTTGAACACACTCCATTTGGGATATTGGCAGTGAGGATAAACAAGAGTGCATTGTAGCTTGCCTAAGGCTTAACACATTCCAGGAACCTTGGGATTCTAGTTTACCCCTATATATGTTGAACGATTGTATTCCACCTCTGGAGAATTGTAAGTCAGCATTTTCTTCGTGAGAATATGATAGCAGTAGAGAAAATGTGTGTGTGTCCAAGGGCGGGCCCTGAGGGGGGCGGTGTCCGTATCCCCCTTATCACCAGAAAATTCTAATACAAGTACTTTTTCTTTAATGCAGTATCGTACTCAGGGATTTTTGTATAGTAAAAAATATTTACTATTGACTTCAGAATATCTCCTAATATCAAGTGTGCATGGCTTCAAAATGGCCTCAAACTGTCCATGATATTGGTCAGATTTCAAACAAATTCTGGTTTGGGCTTACAACCCCCCTAAAAAAAATAGCTGGGTTGGCTGGTGCGCTCGCCACGTTTCCTCACCCACAACTTCTTGGACCCCCCTTTATATTCCTGGATACGCCTTTGTGTGTGTAAATATTTTCTGAATGTTAAATGACGATTACCAGTCTTGCAGTTTCAAATTGTGTTGGATATGTGATAAGACAGCAGACATTTTTTTTAAATAAAAGTACTGTACCTAAAAAACATAAATATTCTTTTGTGTAACATGATGTCTCTACAGGTGTATGTCTACTATAGTGAGTATATAAAGATATTTTTTGTATAATGATACAATATTACGTACCCGGAAATCCTACTGATTAAACGACATTGAAATCTCGATTTATTACATAATCTGCATTAGTAAACCACTTTAGTAGTTATTAAAGTTTGCTCATTAGCATTTTTGTGAGGAAAACATAAGTAACACCCAGTCATACAGAGGATATATCTTTATTTTGATATAAACTCAGTTAACCTTTTTTATCCATTTGCACCGTGTTATATAGTTGAGTATCATCGACGTGACCGTATGCTGTATTCGAAAGATTTCACGTTTGCTCCACAATATTAACAATTTACCCATCAGCTGACACACAGACTCCGTTTTGTCTGAAGGTAGAAATGTGGCGATAGTTTAGTAGCGAGACATGCAAATGTTTGTGAAGGTGAAGCGTGGCCACACGGGCGGGAGCTTGTCCACTAGTTTGACTGGCCAACGCCCATAGTGAAGGCCCATGTGTGCTACCCACGCTCCTGGCGCCCACACCTCCCATACCCCTGACACTGCTACTCTCACAAGCTACTTTCCAATGCGTACATCCATTAACTACTCTTGAGTGATGCTTCCTAAAATTTAAGTAGTCTTGGATACCGCCGTTGTTGCTTGGCAGTTCTTAGCTGTCGTATCCATGCAATAGTAATACAGGGTACTGCATTAGCTATTTCCCCCCACTAACCCACACACGCTGCTACTGCCGTAACCATGGTGAGCGGTCTTGTGGTTGTTCCCAATTTCCCATCACATCCAAGCAAAAAAAAAAAATGTTGTTTATATATTTTTATAACGCGAAGCAGGCAGTATAATAAATACATCGTGTGTGTGTGTGTGTGTGTGTGAATGACTCGCCAGTATTTTGAGTGATACGTGACTTTAATATTTCCGCTTCATGTAATAACAGTAATACTTAAATTAAAGTAATTTTAAAACCGATCCGAATATTCCCGGTTAAATCCACTTTGTTATAAGTGTTATAATTTTTCGTTGTTTGAATTAGTGGGTGTGGAGGACTGCCCCATTAACCAATTGTCAGTGCAAGTAAATATCACCCCCCCCCCCTTCCAAAACATACATGTAATGAGATATCTTGAACGAGGCCTTGGCAGACAGCTTTTTACTGAGCTTGTGAGGGGCTGGCGTTGTGTTGATTTTTTTTATACTACACTATATGATCGGCCTTGCTAATGTGATGGGAAGAATGCAGCTGGATTTTAAACTACACTTGAGGGATATATTTACTGTTTTAGAATGTATTGGATGAAAAGTGTGTTCTACGGTAGTACTAAATCATTCCTAACCTTATGTAGCCTAAGCTAACCATAACAAACTTATCGTAACCTTAACGTACCAAACTTATATCAAGCCTTTTCAACTTAGCCTAAGTTACCCAATCATAACCTAAACTTACCTCACCTAACCTAACAGGACTTAAAATTGAGCAGGTGGAATTTTTTCCCATTAATCTGTATTTTGGTTGTGGTGTTTTTTCCTGCTGAAAATTTTTAATTGAGAGTTTGCAGCGGAGGAAATTGTTTAGTGGGATTTTACTCACTTGGAAGTTGTCAAATGAGATTTATTCTTGCGGGAAATCGGTTGTTGGAAAATATCGCCTAACATAGGCGAGACTTGCGCAAGCTTACCACAGGAGTCAGCAGCTGGTAAATGGGGTTGTCTTTCTGTTGTCCCAAGTGGCTTCGAAGGACGCTTTTTACACTCTTCCAGTTTTATTATACTGCAGACGTGGTGTTTATTGAGAGAGTGAAGTGTGGTAGTGGGTGGTAAAGGCAGTGCAGGTGGATTGAAGGGGAGGGCGTGTTGAAGCTTGGTGATATTATGGGAGACAGGGGGTGGAGAGGGCAGATAGCGAAAGCAAGGTGGGATGAAAATAATTGGGAGGAAAGCGCATGACTAGCTCGTCACGAACATGTGAGAGAGGAGGCGTGGGATGCCTTGTCACACACTTTATCTTCACCACCGTGTCAATGTCTACATCGAGACAGGCATTGGAGGGAGAATGCATCGAATCTTATTTTTATTTTTTGTTGTTGATATGCACACTTTATTTTTGCTTGATTATATAGAAACACCTCTTATAAGTCAAGGTTTGAGCATAACTGTAACATTGTTGACCGTAATGTGTACAGTATTTATATTCAGAACGCGTTTAAAGAAACATCAATACAAGCGCAGGTTCGAGAATAAAATATAACTAGGTGTAGTGGTTTCTATTCATGTTCAGTTTAGTGTCTGGGCGTGGTGGTAGTGGATGGTCGTGGGCAGTACACAATCCCAGCCCACCTGCACCACCACCTACACATCTCCACCTACTCCACCAACGCTTGCACCCTTAGGTAATAACACCACGCCTCACCCACACTCGATTTTTGTCAGTC